GCTGCGCACCACACCGGTGTTCCCGTTGACAAAGCCGCGGTCCTTATCAACGTTTTGGGTTAGCCGCAGGCGCATTCCAGTTTCCACAGCGAGGTGGCCCAGTTCGGCGGGCAGCCCACCGCCGGACCGGAGCACCGCCGCCGCCGCAGGAAACTGAACTCCCAATCGTCCCAAGTTCAGTGAAGCGGCTCCGTGGTTCGTGACGGTGAGGAAAGTAAAGGGCTTGCCAGATTCCCTTTCCACGGCAAGGGCAGCGCGAGCCGCAGTGTCCGGATCCGCCACCAACATGCGGTTCTCAAAAAACCTGTGCAAGGCTTCTCGGGAAGGCTGCCGAAGTCGAGCGGCCTCAAGGAACTCCAACATCACGGGGTCCACGGAGCGGGCGGCTTCATGCTGCTCCAGCTTCACGTAAAGGATTTGATTCTGCATCCTCTCTTTGTCCAAAGCAGCTTGAAGCTCAGGCCCGCCCTGCAGCGGCTGCAGCTGTTGGAAGTCCCCCACGAACACTACAAAGGGGCACGGACTAAGCTCTCCCAATGCAGTCTTCAGTTTTTGCCAGACAGCCGCTTCAATTTGACTTACTTCGTCAATGACGATTAAGTCATAGTGTCGCAATCGACCGGGCGGCACATAAGCTGCATCTGCATCCCTTGTGATGCGAAAGGCTGCATGGACAGTTTCCATTGTCAGATTCTTCAAGTTGGGCAAGCGCAAGCGGTACATGGACACCAACAGCCCAATTGGGCCAGCGATGAGTACCCGGCAGTTGTCTTCCAGGGCTTGTCGCACGGCGGCGATGATGACCTCTGTTTTGCCGGTGCCCGGACCACCAGCTACTTGCAAGATTCGAGGCGCTGTTTGCATCTCCGCCGCATCGCTGATGGTGGTGCCTCGCCGGACATGTTCCAGAGCTTGCTGCTGTTCCTCTGACCAGACTCGCCGCGGTGGAGCGGACACCGAACGAGCCGTCCACGAACCTGGATCCTCACGCCCATCTCGGAAAGCACATAGGAGAAGTGAAAGTGCATGGATGCGAGCCTTGAACGTAGCAATGCGATCAGCGGTCAATCCTCGGAGGATCAAATCAGTTTCCATCATAGCAAGTAGTTCGCCCACATTCGGATGGAACACCGACGGATCTGTTCGATAGAGCTGAAATCGATCCAAGCACAGGACCGCTTTGAGGTGCTTACAACCTTCTGGAGCTTGAAAGGAAGCTCGACGAGTCTTTTCATGCAACAAGTCCGGAGGATAAGCACTCTCGTCTTTGTCGATGTCCGGACAGAGACGAAACTCCAGCAGATCTGGCAAGAAGGTAGCCGCCCAAGCCCCGACAAAGACGTCTAGGAGCTCGAAAGGGAAAGTGATTGCCACTCCGCACTCCGTGTTCCTCATGGGCCCTGCCATATTTCGCCTGGCAACAACTTTGTTCTGGGCGTGGACCACACGAAACTGACGCAGCCATTGCAGAAAAGACAGGCCACGAGCACAACCGAGTTCATCTACTGGCCGCCGTAGAAAGAACTGATACACCATGTACTGGTCCCGAGAGGTGTTCTTGGCTTGGCTTCCAGGAACAGGAGCAAAAAGTGCATGCCCGGTGAAAGAGTGGCGAACCATGGGCAGGCCTGCGAACTCCATGATGATTTCTTGCTCCATGGGCGATCGCTTGCAGAGCAATCGGTAGCATTGCCTCCACTTGCTGTTCTCCTCGGCCGTGCCATCTTTGTGAGCTTGCCGGTGCGAGAGCATCCGATGCCTTGGACACATAGCCTGCGACATATTGCAGCAGATTGTGTGTGCCGTCTCCACACTGGACGTCCACACGGCTGCGAAACAATTCCTCCAGCAAGTCAACGAATGCCGACGCATGGGGCGTCCCAGTACGGCCTGTCAGGTCGCTGGCCTTCCAACCGGGCAGCAAATCTGCCCACAGGACAGCGTGCAGATGCAAGGTACCACGAGATTGGAACTCGAACCGGAAAGACCACTGCCGCACTTTGGCGATGCCGATGCGGTTCAAGCTGGCCCCGTCCTTCAGAATGTGGTGCTCGAGCATCACCTGAAGCGTGTGGTACAAATGCAACGTGATTTTCTCTTGCTGATCGCTGAGCGGCCCTTCATGAAAGATGCCGTTGTGCAGCAAGTACTGCCACTCTGCCGGAGCAACCGTGAAGAACACGGAGGGCAGAGCCACGTCCAGGGAGGAGGATTTCTCGTACTCCTGACGGCAGATATCCTCCATCTTGCGGAGTTGTTGGTGCCAATAGACATCGAAGCCATCCATGTCGGCGGCAATCTGTTCGGGAGAGACTTTTTGCTTGTCCGCAATGGATTGCACAGCGCTGATTGTCTTGGCCATGCAGGTGTCGTATAAGAGACACTGCAGAGGAAAGTCAACCGCGTAATCCAGGCACCGACTTTCCAGCTTGCGCATGAAGCCTGTCCTGATGCTAGGTTTGTTGCTGGAAGTCATCCAACCCAACGGGAGCAAGCGCTCGTGGTAATCCGTGTCGGCCAGGCTCGATACCGGGTAGAGCCATGGCCTGACAGCAACTTCAATGCCGGGACTCCTCAGAAGCAGCTCGGCCGTCTGGAGCTCGCGGTTCTTTGCATCAAGGTCGCCCGTTGTGTGGAACAGTGCAGCATGTCGATGAACCCACGCCCTGTACGTGTCATTGGACTGAAGCAACCACCCAAAAGCGCGGGCAGCCAAGTCGCCTCGACGAAGAGTTTGCAGGGGCTGCGATTTCCAACGGCAGCGAGTCAGCGATCTCTTTTGTTTGCTGGTAATATCCGCCTTGCCTCCCCTTCGACTGCGGTAGTCAACATGGATACTCAGCACGGCCAGGTCGTTCAACTCGGATTGCGTCAACACCAAGGTCAAGGGCAGCTCTCCCGATCCGATGGCTGCAGACCATGCATGCCAGCAGCTTTTCTGCGGAGTTGTATACACCGCGAGTCTTGTGCTTAAGGCATCAGCTGGCGCAGGCGACAGCAGGTCCACTGCAGCCACATCGCAGCAAGGGCGGCAGCCTTCCTGCTGTCTCAAGTCGCTGAGCCACCATCTCTGGGTCTTGACTCGTGCTTTCTTGCGACCACAACTTGCACAGAAGACCCAGGAGCCCTCCAGCAACCACTTCGCACTTGCAGCTTCTTCGGCATCACTTGCTTTCATGGGTGGAACCTTTGCCAAGATGCCGAAGTTGAAGCCGTACTCTTCAGCCCAAGTGTTGTGGACGGTCACAAGTGCATCCGACTGGCGCGGCGCAGACCCTTTCAGCCACCGCCGAAGAGTGGTTCTAGGAATGGTCTCAAGCGAGCTGTCGTTCGTGTGGCTCGAGGCTTCATTCCCAGGCACGGACTCAGCAGAGCCTATGGCATTGAGAAGACGCGTTTGCTTCTGTGGAGGCAAGCTTCCAAACACACTGTTCCAAGAAGACTTGCGGCTGAAAGCTTCTGAACCACAGGTGGACACCAGCGCCTGATGAGCTCGCTGTCCAAGCTCAGGTCGTCGGAACCACGCTAGCAAGGTGTTCCGATGCAATCGATAAGGCGACGTCTTCTGTGTCAGCGTGAAATGCGGCACCTGCTGCCGTATGCTGCTGAGAGCTTGCGTGAAAGTTGCACTCGACCGCAGACTTTCAATAATGACGTCTTTGTCTGCTTTCGCGTAGTTGGAAAAGTTGCCATAATTTCTGCTAGACTGTGCTTTTGGAATCTCTGCACCTTGTGTCTTGGAATTCGAAGGTGCTCCCGGTGTCTTGCTGTGTTCTGTCTTCATTCGTTTGGCAGGCTGGTCGAGTGTGCCTTCAGTGCTCGGAGGGTGTGTGTGCTTCTCGCTCACGGCAATGATCACATCGCTGTCCTCAGACTCCTCGGAGGAGTCGAGATTCATCACAGATCGCTCAGCCAAAGGCGCAGGAATGCTTGCTGCGTCCGCCACGCGAGTATAACACACGATGTACACCTTCTCATCTGGTACCGAAGTCTCAGGTCCAGGGTTTGGCTTCGCCTCGGACACCACCGAGTCATCGAACCGAAGAAAGCCACTGCCTCGAGGTCGATAGGCCACGTAGTGACCGCTGGCCGCGGTTTCACCGCGATGCGACACCACGGCTCGAAGGCGATAGCGCACATTGCTCTCGGCTATGAAAAGCTCCTCGTCCACATGCACTTTGTGCGCCAAGAGTCCATGCAAGCCATCCCATCTCTTCAGTGTGATGACTAGGTCTTGCGGCCACTCCTCCATGGTTGTTAGGCGCTTGGGCACTTGACGGGCTGTGCCAGCAGCGATGCAAGCAGCTGTGGCACATTCCCACTCCAGAATGTCTTCTTGCAACGGTTCTTGCTGAAGGTATGCCATGAGTGCTGATTGCACCGACTCCAGTAGGCGATCTTCCTGCACAAGAGCAAGGTGCATGCACAGAAATGGCTCCGAAGGCAACCCGTGGCGGCGCCCACAAGTCGTGCAAGCCAAGAATGGTTTTTCTGTGCCTCGCAAGCTGCCCTGCACGCTGGGGCAATCCGCGAGAACCTCCACGAGAATCTCAGCGCAATCCTCTTGTTGTCCTCGATAGTAAAGATCCAACATGGGCTGCGGAACGATCGCGTTTGATGTTGCATTGGCCAGGTCCCGAGTCTCCATCAGAGCTCGTTCAGTTGCGGTTGTGGCCCGCAAGCTGTCAAATCCAGGTAGGGCGAACATTGCCTGCATGCCGGCATTCACGAAGCAACTCGCCCCAACGTTGCGGAACTTCATGGCGGAGGACGCCATGGTGATGCCGAAGGATTGGAAGCTGGTGCGAGATTCAAACAAAAGGCTGCAGCAACCACAACGGAACCATCAACAGCTGCCAACATACACGACTCACATGCCACAAGCAACTTTTGACATACACCCCTCGCGAGCTGGCAGAAATCTGTAGCCTCCACGAAGCCGGCCCAGTACACAGGCCGAGATCGTGGAGACGATTCAACAGTTTTGCGTCAGAGACGCCTCAGGCATCAAAGAGACCTGTGGCATCACAGGCTTCGCCACTGGAACGTGCCTCTGGCTTGTTCATGCGTGCCTGTACAGCGTCAGTGAAATCCTGTTCTGACATCGGCTTAAATTTAACTGCCGCTCGTGCAACAAGTTCTGCTGCGTGGCCCGTGTAGTAGGAGTTGCTGCCAGCCAGGATGAACAAGAAGCTGCGGAAGGCACTTTTCTCTTTCAACAACCAAGTCCGAAAGCTTGCAGCGGCTTTCACCGGATCCATGGGCTTCACGGCAGAGGCAATGACATTGGCACCAGATGTTGTCTTCGCACGCTTCGCGTCGCGAAAGCCCGCTGCAGCATCCTGATTCGAAGAGCCTTTTCCGAAGTTCAAAGCAAGGAGCATCGGCTCCAGCTCAGCAACTTCCTGCGTCACTTTCTCATACAGCTCCGGAACAATCAGCCGTTTCATGTCTGCGGACTTGAAGTTCTTGATGGAGGCCAGCAATGCTGCCGCAGTCATACTAATGCCCGCGCCAACATGCCACGGGTCAGTGTCCTGCGGCGCAGCAAGATGGCTATGATAAGCCGTCCGCTTGGACCCCTTCGTGGTAGCCTTCCACAACTGCTCCAAGCTCATGTTGTCGAGAGCCGACTCTCCATAAGGTTCAAGCATCTGGGATGCTACAGAGTCGTACCCATACAGCTTGACTCGGCGCTCCTTCGCCGCGGTCTGCACCTCGACCTCGGGAGCATCACCGCCAAACAATCCTCCGGACATTTTTCGAAATGAAAATGTAGAGAAACCACAAGAGCAAGCTCGAGCCAGATTCTGCCATCCCCTTTGCTCGGCTAGTGTTCCAAGCAACAAGGACTTTCTGTGCAAACCTACTTTTTTGCACTTGCTTGCGATTGTGGCTCCACTCAGTCCGCCCTGCTTACCTAGGCCGACTGCGTGGGACTATGAAAAGAAAGTGCTTCGGAAGTTGATTCCGCTGCACAAGTGTCAAACTGTCGCATTCAAGGCTGTCTGTATCGCAACTTTTGACATACACCCCTCGCGAGCTGGCAGAAATCTGTAGCCTCCACCAAGCCGGCCCAGTACACAGGCCGAGATCGTGGAGACGATTCAAAAGTTTTGCGTCAGAGACGCCTCAGGCATCAAAGAGACCTGTGGCATCACAGGCTTCGCCACTGGAACGTGCCTCTGGCTTGTTCATGCGTGCCTGTACAGCGTCAGTGAAATCCTGTTCTGACATCGGCTTAAATTTAACTGCCGCTCGTGCAACAAGTTCTGCTGCGTGGCCCGTGTAGTAGGAGTTGCTGCCGGCCAGGATGAACAAGAAGCTGCGGAAGGCACTTTTCTCTTTCAACAACCAAGTCCGAAAGCTTGCAGCGGCTTTCACCGGATCCATGGGCTTCACGGCAGAGGCAATGACATTGGCACCAGATGTTGTCTTCGCACGCTTCGCGTCGCGAAAGCCCGCTGCAGCATCCTGATTCGAAGAGCCTTTTCCGAAGTTCAAAGCAAGGAGCATCGGCTCCAGCTCAGCAACTTCCTGCGTCACTTTCTCATAGAGCTCCGGAACAATCAGCCGTTTCATGTCTGCGGACTTGAAGTTCTTGATGGAGGCCAGCAATGCTGCCGCAGTCATACTAATGCCCGCGCCAACATTCCACGGGTCAGTGTCCTGCGGCGCAGCAAGATGGCTATGATAAGCCGTCCGCTTGGACCCCTTCGTGGTAGCCTTCCACAACTGCTCCAAGCTCATGTTGTCGAGAGCCGACTCTCCATAAGGTTCAAGCATCTGGGATGCTACAGAGTCGTACCCATACAGCTTGACTCGGCGCTCCTTCGCCGCGGTCTGCACCTCGACCTCGGGAGCATCACCGCCAAACAATCCTCCGGACATTTTTCGAAATGACAATGTAGAGAAACCACAAGAGCAAGCTCGAGCCAGATTCTGCCATCCCCTTTGCTCGGCTAGTGTTCCAAGCAACAAGGACTTTCTGTGCAAACCTACTTTTTTGCACTTGCTTGCGATTGTGGCTCCACTCAGTCCGCCCTGCTTACCTAGGCCGACTGCGTGGGACTATGAAAAGAAAGTGCTTCGGAAGTTGATTCCGCTGCACAAGTGTCAAACTGTCGCATTCAAGGCTGTCTGTATCAAACCTTGCTACTTTTCAGGCCTCAACCTTCTTGTAGGTGCCTCGAGCCTTTCTCTTCGGTCGCTCTGGGTCACGTCGGCGACGAGCTCGCGCAACTCGCTTCTTGAAGTCGGCCGCGGCCGTCTCACCGATCGTCACCTCCATGAAGCTCAACGCCCGTGTCAGGGCGCTTTCCTCCAAGACTCGTAGCAATCCCGTCAATCTCCCAGGGTGGTCACGGAAGAGCAACTTCATGCGATCCGGATCACACAATTCGCAACCCGTTGGCGGCGTTGCTTCAACTGGTTGAAGATCATGTCCAAAGACACAGGCCTGCCCGTCACGGCCACAGCACATGCGAAGAAGATGCTCAGAAGGCTGCTCAGGGCGTTCTTTGCGAGGACGAGGACCACGGCGAGCTCGTGCAGGATCTAGGCGATGTCGAGCTCGTTGAACTCTTCCACGATATTCGGCTTCCGCCTTGGATCCCAGCGCATCTCGAACATATGTGAACCCTTTTTCCAAAACTTCTTGGTCCAGACCGTTGAGCACATGCGTCAGGCGCGCCGGCATGTTCGCATTCAATGCCGACAAGATGGAAACGTCACAAAGGTCGCAACAGCCGCTTGGAGCAGCCGGTGCCGGAGTCGACCACTTGCCGAACACACAAGGCGACTCCCTGCGACCACGGCAAGGACCGTTTCCTTCGTGTGGTCGCCACAAGTCCATCAAAGCGTGGCCTCTTGGCACTTTGCTGCCCATGCTTTGGGCTTCATGTCGCTCCCGCTTCACATGCACGGAAGGTTTTATTTCCAAAGCTTTGTCTGCCGCGATCTTCTTGGACTTCTTCACATTGTCGCGGCCCGCACCGACTTTGTCGGCCTTCTTCACGTCCTCGCCGCCCGCGGCAATCTTCTTGGACTTCTTCCCCTCTTCGCTGTCGCTGTCAATTAAGTTGATTGTGCTGGTAGAAGCACGCAAAGGCTGCGAGAAAGCCACCATAATGCTCAACGAAAAACGTTGCACTTGTTCTCTAATCACGTTGCTTGTCATAAAATGGCAACAGCAGCACTCCACCGTTTCACGAACAAAGTGCCTTCATGAAGCCATTGAACAGAAGCCACTTACCCCGCCTTCTTCACGATGAGTAAAGTTCTTCCTGGCGAACCTCCGCCGTCCTGAAAGTGAGCACAACTGCACGCACGACTATAAATAATCCCAGCTCCAAACATGCTTCAAGCGAGCGGTGCACCGCTTGCTCCTGCACATTGGCACAGCAGGCAGCCCGACCCAATTGATAATTGCTACTGCTTTACACTGCTTACATTCTAGCAAACACATGTCGTTCTTGCTGATGCATCAGCTGCGTCAGACTTGCCTTATATAGCCGCGACAAAGTCACATCATAGCGACACAAGCACAACCACTCTTCTATGTCGCATCAGCAGCTTGTCAACCTGCACACAGCTTGCTGCCTGTGCTCTCGACCGGACGAGCCTACCTCATTTGAGCCAAGTGCAAGACTGATATGATCAAAAAGGACGCTTTCACAGCCGAAACAACTACCAAACATGGTTTGTGCAAGCACCAGTGAGGCTGAAATTAACACCGCGACCAGAAATAAAAAATGCATGGCATGCATGCTTCTGCTAGCTTGCCAAAGTTCGAGCGTTTTGGTTTACAACTTTCTTGTTCCTTGCTTGCTGGCTCCTCCCCTTGTGCGTCTGTGCTAAATGAAAGCCTGTCGGTGACTTGCTGTCGCTAAACCTTAAAATTTCAATGGTATCAACACCGTTGCTTGGTTGTTTTAAGTAAAGTAAGTAAAAGATCGAAGTTGCTGCTGTCGCTAAACCTTAAAATTCCTATGGTGTCAACACCGTTGCCTGCTTGTTTTAAGTATAGCAAGTGAAAAATTAAAGTTGCTGCTGTGAGCTGGGAGACATAAAATGCAGGACAAAGACCCCCGCTCGCTGTCGTCAAACGGCAACGTCACTGACCCGTGGCTGAACGGTCATCGCAAAGAAGCATGATAGCTCCAGTTGCTATCGTAAAGCGATGGCGTGACCACAGCCCTAGCTTTTGGCAAGGTCTTTGAAAGTGCTTGGATGAGTAATGGTGCTTGGCAATGAACTTCTGAGGAGATTCAAGTCATGACATGTAACAGCTCTGCTTGCTGTCGTAAAGCGATGGCGTGACCGCAGCCTCAACTGTTGTGGGCAGTGAGCGAAAGTTGAGCAAGTTTTGGGTTCAACCATGCTTCGTTGGTTGATACCTCAACTGTTGTGGCCAGTGCTTGCTTCTTACACTACTTTTCAAAGGCTTTAACGGTAGCCCCCGGTCGTGACTACCCCCCAATAAGCGATGCTCATGCTCTTGGCTTTCTGCTGGCCTCCGTTAACGCGCGCGCCAGTGCGCGCGCGCGCGCGCGCGTTGTTGGAGACCGAGACCCTCGACTCTCGGGAGCGAAGCGCTCCTCGGCTCCTGGGCTCCCTGGCTTCAGGTCCTGTGGGGGTAGCCACTATCGCCCTAGGCTTCCTTTAAAGAGTCGCCACGAGGACTGCACACTAAAACGTTTTTTTTTTGATTTTTACATGTAAATAACACAGTTCCAGCGAAGTTCGCTTTCGAACAGCATTGGAAGCTCCAGCAAACTAAGCTCTTTGAAGCTGTCTCCAAGCTTCCTCTATATGGTTTTGTACGATCTAAACCACTGAGTGCTTGTTGAAACTTTCAAAAGCTTCTAACTTGAAAAACACAGCGAATTTCGTTTGGAAAGATCGCGCTCCAAATCAAAAGTGTAGAGTTTTGCTAGTTGCGCATACTTTTAGAGCATATCTTTAGCATTTTTAGACAGGGTTTGATGCCCCCTACACCACTGAACTAGTGTTGAAACTTTCAAAAGCCTCTAACTTGAAAATATAGCAACTTTCGTTTGGAAAGATCGCGCTCGAAATGAAAAGTGTGGATTTTTAGTATCTGGGAAGCACTTAAAGCTAATATGAAAGCATTTTCGAGCTGGATTTGACCCCGGTCAATATTTAACTTCGATTCCCGACGTCTAAAACCATGCTAGCCGACAATAATACTGACGAAACTTTGAAAATTTAGGTTTTCAGAACGTTTTTTAGTTTTTTTCGAATGTGCGCAGCCTTTTAAAAGCTATCTCTGGCATTTTTGGACAGAGCTTGAACCTATGAAACTTTTGGAATACCTCCCGCAGCTCGCAACGAATGTTCGCATAACTTCCGAGTCAAGTCGGCTAGATCCGGATCCCGGTTCCCGAAAAAAAAAATCCAAAACCCTACAAGTTAAGGGTTTGAAAATTTTTTTTGGATAACTTCGTTTTTTTATTAAAACGAACGCAGATTCAGATAGAAGGGATCAAACCATATATACTTGTATGGTCGCCAGGTCTTTAAACGGAAGAAAAAAAATTCGACCTCCTCAGATCCACGAAATTAGCTATTTTCAGTGGTTTGCTACACGAAATCGATTTAAAACGCGGCTATTTGGCTTAGTTAGATCATTTCATGTAGGGGGATATGGATAACAGCTGAAACGGAGCAAGTCGTCAAAATCCGACTTCCCTGATTTGAGCTTTTTTCCAGGTTTCAGCCTCATTTGCCTTGCTAGTAAGTTTAGAAAGCTTCAAGAAGGAGTTAGTGGTTTAGAGCGTGCAAAACCATATAGAGGAAGCTTGGAGACAGCTTCAAAGAGCTTAGTTTGCTGGAGCTTCCAATGCTGTTCGAAAGCGAACTTCGCTGGAACTGTGTTATTTACATGTAAAAATCAAAAAAAAAACGTTTTAGTGTGCAGTCCTCGTGGCGACTCTTTAAAGGAAGCCTAGGGCGATAGTGGCTACCCCCACAGGACCTGAAGCCAGGGAGCCCAGGAGCCGAGGAGCGCTTCGCTCCCGAGAGTCGAGGGTCTCGGTCTCCAACAACGCGCGCGCGCGCGCGCGCACTGGCGCGCGCGTTAACGGAGGCCAGCAGACCGTGGGTTACCGTTAAGAATGTTGAAAGGTACTATACAAAGCAAGCACTACCCACAGCAGCTGAGGCTGCGGTCACGCCATCGCTTTACGACAGCTAGCAGAGCTGTTACATCAAGTTTCTTTGCGATGACCGTTCAGCCACTGGCCAGTGACCTTGCCGTCCGACAGCAGCAATCATAGGTCTTTTCCCTTCATTTTATGTGTCCTCGTTCACATAGCAGAAGCCACCGCAAAAGATTTTTTGAATTGATTTACTCAAAACAAGCAAGCAACGGTGTTGACACCATAGGAATTTTAAGGTTTAGCAACAGCAGCAATTTCGATCTTTTACTTGCTTTACTTAAAACAAGCAAACAACGGTGTTGACACCACAGGAATTTTAAGGTTTAGCGACAGTAGCCACTTAATTTTTTTACTTGCTTTACTTAAAACAAGCAAGCAACGGTGTTGACACCGTAAGAATTTTAGGGTTTAGCGACAGCAGCAACTTCGATCTTTTACTTGCTTTACTTAAAACGAGCAAGCAACGGTGTTGACACCATGGGAATTTTAAGGTTTAGCGACAGCAGCAATTTCAATTCTTTACCTGCTTAGCAAGCAACGATGTTGACACCATAGAAAATTTAGGTTTTAGCGACAGCTTTACTTAAAACAATCAAGCAACGGTGTTGACACCATTGAAAATTTAAGGTTTAGCCACAGCAACAACTTCAATGATTACTTGCTGTACTTAAAACAAGGAGGAAACGGTGTTCGTACCGTAGAGAATTTAAGGTTTAGCAACAGTAGGAACGTCAATCTTTTATTTGCTTTACTTAACACCGGAACGAATGCTCATCACGGCGGCACCGAGCAGTCACAGGACCACCCTACTGGAATGGTGTCAAGGCCGAACAACAACATTCTCGTGCTGGCCTTCAACCGGGCAGTTAAACAAGCGTCCTCGTTCACATAGCAAAACCCACCGCATAAGATTTCTGGAATTGATTTACTTAAAACAAGCAAGCAACGGTGTTGACACCATAAGGAATTTAGGGTTTAGCGACAGCAGCAACTTCAATTTTCTCCTTGCCTTACTTAAAACAGGTAAGCAACGGTGTTGACACCATAGCAAATTTAGGGTTTAGCGACAGCGGCAACTTTAGTCTTCTGATTACCTTGCTTACAACAAGCAAGCAACGGTGTTGACACCATAGGAAATTTAGGGTTTAACGACAGCAACAATTCAATCCTTTACCTGCTTTACTTGAAACAACCAAGCAACGGTGTTGACACCATAGGAATTTTGAGGTTTAGCAACAGCAGCGGCTTCAATGTTTTACTTGCTTTATACACCATATGAAATTTAAGGTTTAGCCGCAGCAGCTTCAGTGTTTTACATGCTTTACTTAAAACAAGCAAGCAACGGTGTCGACACCATAAGGAATTTAGGGTTAAGCCAACTTCAATCTTCTCCTTGCCTTACTTAAAACAAGTAAGCAACGGTGTTGACACTATAGCAAATTTAGGGTTTAGCGACAGCAGCAACTTTAGTCTTCTGATTGCCTTGCTTACAACAAGAAAGCAACGGTGTTGACGCCATAGGAAATTTAGGGTTTAACGACAGCAACAATACTTTACCTGCTTTACTTGAAACAACCAAGCAACGGTGTTGACACCATAGGAATTTTAAGGTTTAGCGACAGCAGCGGCTTCAATGTTTTACTTGCTTTATACACCATAATAAATTTAGGGGTTAGCCACAGCGCGCGTTAACGGAGGCCAGCAGACCGTGGGTTACCGTTAAGAATGTTGAAAGGTACTATACAAAGCAAGCACTACCCACAACAGTTGAAGCTGCGGTCACGCCATCGCTTTACGACAGTAAGCAGAGCTGTTGCATGTCATGACTTGAATCTCCTCACAAGTTTCTTTGCGATGACCGTTCAAACACTAGCCTGAGGAGATTCAAGTCATGACACTTGACAGCTATGGTTGCTATCGTAAAGCGATGGCGTGACCGCAACAC